GTGACCATTCCTCGTCAGCTACACCTAAAAGAGCAGCATTTCATTTCTAATCACTCCAAATTTAAGTGAATCAAGAACCACTTGTGGCTGATAGTTACCGCACTCGTAATTCTTTTTTTAATCAGCATATCAACCTTAAAAGAAATTCGGTTTTACTAAACTGTAAATATCATATTCTGTGGTTCCAGACCGGTATGGAGCAACAACAACGCCTTGGTAGTTTAATCTTCAATGAATATGCAGTCAAACAGAAGTTGATCAGTCAGCGATACGAGTCAAATCAAGTAATTGTTTGAATTATTGAAACATTTTCATGAATGTCGTTTTCGTTGATAATTGAGCTGCGTTCATTAAATTATTGCATTTTTGTAAGTTCCTCATAAGCACTAATGAAATGATCTTGAAGATATACTTTCGTTCAACAGATGTCAATCGGACGCTATTGAGTGCTGTATCGAATTTAGTTGGGATGTATTTCAACAGACCTGAACAGATAGCAAACCTTGACTATCCATCAATGAAAGGATGGCCGAACGGCTATGTTCCCGTAGCTGTACACACGCTTCAAACGAAATATGACCATGTTGGCTGATTGATTTTATCTATTCATTTACTGTTTCATTCATTCACAGGTGTTCACAAAATCATATCAATATCAATTCATCGTATTACTTACGATCAGAACGTAAGGCATGAGAAAGAAATTTCTTCGATTTGTACGCAGATCATGGCGGATGTAGAAGAGAGCCTTGTCGCTTTTCCCTTGAATATCTTCTTCTCCTGAGAAAGTAATCTGATGGCTTGAAGGATGTGCTGTCTTCAGTGCATTCGTGGATCGTATTGTTAGATTGTGTGTTCCATAAAAAGACTACAAACAATATTTTTTTATTCAGGTTTCGGATAAGTTCTATTGCCTGAGGAGAGATCAGTTATATCGATTGATACAACAATCAAAAGAGGCCCAGAATGTTGCAAAACAGTATGAGGTATGGTTGCATTTCAGTAACGTTCCTTGCAGCTGTAAATTTTCAACTCATCAATGATAACTTGGTATGCATTTAACGGATTTTTCGAACTACTCCTCATAAAATTTCCTTTTTTACTACAGACTTCAGCAATTTCATAAAACCTCAGCAATCAACACAACCAAATATGATTCCAAATATACGTTCAGAAAGGCATGAAGACGATATCCAGCTCTGAAAATTTGTTGTGAATCAAAATTATAAATGCAGTAAGTATTATTTCGTGAAAAA